ATAACCACTTTATGTAAATAGATAATATTGCACTTGATTACTACAAAACTACACATGGCCTACAAATAGTACGTCACAATCATTGATGAGCGTGAAGAAGTTGCACGTAAGAAAATAAGGGAACTTCTATCCCAAAAGAGATACAATGACAATCATAATACTGAAATTTCTACATTGTCTAAGTCATGATCTTTTACAACTGAAGGTATTAAAGAAATGACATGGTTTTAAGAGACAAAAGTGACTTAAGAGTTAGGTTGAACGAGAGGAAAGCCACACCGTCAAGCAGTGGCGGAGTCAGAAAGTTTTTGAAATCTGGGCAAAAATTTAAATACAATAAATTCATATTGTATATATAAATAGTTATTAATCAAAATAAATTTTTTTTAATTTAATTGATTTCGGCAGAATTTTAAAACTAACATGGTCATATCCAATTTGAGGCTGATGCTAACATGAAATATCATTTCATGTGATTCATAATAATTCTTGAAATTAGCAACAAGTTAACAACATAATTTTATTTACTAACTACTGTAACTACAAACTAAATTTAAAATACAAATTCCTAGTTATCAATTGAACCATATAATTTACAGTGAACATAAATTGAAGAATTAGACCTAATATATTTTTTATATTATTTGAGGATAAAATTTATTCTTTTCTTCTTCTTTTTTACAACACTATACATGTTTTGTTTTTTATAATTTTAGTAGCTGCTACTTTTATGTTAAATTTTATTTTTTCAAGTATTCATTTTTTGTTTTTGGTTAATTTGGTCATAAATAGCAACTTTATTTTAATTTTTCACTTTTTGTAATGTAGTTGAATCTAAATATTATCATATAAAAAAATAAATATAATGTATGTTTAATTGCATAAAAAAGGAAAAAAATGTTTTATTTGTGAAAATTGTTTAAATTACGACGGTTAAAACTGCCATTATCAACGATAAAAAACCGCCTTTTATTTAATATATATTATGACATGAGAAATTTTATTCAAAAGTACTATTTTTCTGTATTTTCGTTAATTGTGGCGGTTTTAACCGCCATAACAGCACTTAGTAACCGCCACAATTTTCATATTCTTTTATAAAAGAAGGCAAAATTTTGGGACCGAGCCTGGGCACATGCCCAGCCTGGCCGGGCCTTAAAACCGCCCATGCCGTCAAGTATCTCAGGTATTTTAGTCAATGTGCATCTCATTTGTTTTAAATATACATTTACTGTCACTTTTTTTTAAACTTACATATTCATTTTAGGAAAAACCATTAACAATAAAAGTCTAAACAATATTTATTGAATGCCTTTGATGATGTCTTCTCATGCAATCTTTGACGATGCCGTCAATCAAACAAGCTATATCAAACCGTGTCATTTATAATACCAAAGTTCTAATTAAAGTGCTAAGCCAACATTTCATCAAACAAGGGAACACAAAGCTCTATAGTTATAAAAGAGAAGAAATCTGAATGCTCACGTAGTCTTGCGTACAAGGTGTGTGTTAAGAGTCCCACATCGGACAATATATGGCATGAACATGTGTTTATAAATAGGGGCAATTCTCACTCTACCAGCCGATTTTGTAGGGTTGAGTTAGGCCAAACCATATTTTTTAACATGGTATCAGAACCTCGTTTAAGATCCGGTGGGCCACCTTCTATGGTTTCCGCTATCGGAACACCCACCATTTATTTCCACGCTTCAGTTGTCTAGTCCTGAGCGTGAGGGTGTGTGTTAAGAGTCTCACATCAGACAATATATGGCATGAACATGTGTTTATAAATGGGGGCAATCCTCACTCTACCAGCTGATTTTGTAGTGTTGAGTTAGGCCCAACCATATTTCTTAACCGCGTGCGTGCGTGATTAGTTAAAATGTAAAAGGTCAAGAGTAAATTTTGACGAACTCTAGAAATCACACACAAAACTTTTAAAACCCTAGGCCCAACCACATTTCTTAACAGTGTGCGTGCGTGATTAGTTAAAATGTAAAAGGTCAAGAGTACGTTTTGACGAACTCTAGAAATCACACACAAAACTTTTAAAACCCCATCTTTGTATAAAAACTTGAAAAATATCAAGACTTGTATGAAATTGGTTAAGAAGTATTGCTAATTAACTGGGAAAGTTTTTACACTTCCTAATCCATTAAAGAAGGTTCTAATTGATTAGAACTAGGTAAACAACTTTTAAATTGACTAGGAAAACTTTTAATAGATTAAAACATGTAACCATTATAGGTTTTCATTTTTTGGATTAGGATTGCCACTTTTTGAAAGGTATTAATCGATTACTTGCTTAGGTTAATAATCAATTAAAACATTAAAGTGACCCGTGAACAATTTTGTTTTTGAGTCTAATATTTGTTGGACATGTAACTCCATACATGAGAGAGAGAGGGAGGGGGGGGGGGGGGTTTGAATTTTGAAGGTTTGAAAAACGTTGATTTAAAATAAAATCATTTGTAAAATCAAAGTTAAAAAATATTTTGCAAACAAAAGAGTAAAATAAAAACAAAAAACATATAGAAATACAATAAAGATAAGAGATAAGGGGTAGATAGATACACTAGAGATTTATACAGGTTCATACTAATTTGAGCTACTCATGTCCTCAAGAATTATTCTTGAGAGCATCCAATAAACTTGAAAAGTCTTTAGAAGGATATGCTCGTGAACCTCGTTATATAAGAAAATGAAGTTTTAAGGCTAACTTCTAACCAAACAAAAAATAAGGTTTAAAGTGATTATCCTCCAAAACAAACAAAAAAATTTCACTAACTGATCTCAAACCAAAATGAAGTTTTGAGTTGACTATTCTCCGAACTAAACAGGGTTTTATACAGGATGGCCATAAACCAAATTAAAATTTTATATTGGCTATTCTAAAATCAACTAAGTTTGACTAGGCTGAACTCAGAAACCAAGTTAAGATTTTAACCACGCTAATCTCAAACTGATGGAGTTTTTAACTAAGTTGAGCTTAAGAACCGTTGTGGAGATTTTACTAGCTGATCTTCGTAAACCAAAAGATACTTTTTTCTTCTTGTCAAAACTCACATACCAAACAGAGTCTTCCTAAGACAATCGCAAAGCAACAAATTTTATTGGTTTAACTTGCAACCAAAACAACTTCCTATGAAATAACATTTTACACAAGAGATAATACACTTTTGTTAAATTACAATTAAGCCTTCACCCAGAATAATGATCCTCACTAAGAATTAGGAATACTCTTGAAGTATTATGGCTAAACATATGTGAGAAAATAAGAGATTTAGTAAAAATGATAAGAGAAATGAAAGTAATATCAAAGCTCGTTTTATGGATGTTGAAAAGTGATAGAGAAGCTCTCTATTTATATGCTAAGATGTGGTATACATTTGAAAATAATCCATAGAGCAAATCAATGCCATAATCGATTAGGAAAATTGATTATTAACCTTCAACAATTGGTTGTTCAAGCAACAGGTGAAATATTTTGATATTTAGCTGTTATCAATCATTAAAAGTGTGTCTCGTTCGATTTTAGATTCAACCAAGCAAAATATAATCGATTAGGTTATTGGTCTTTAAGATTATTTAGTTGGAAAAAGACTTCCAGTCAATCAGACACTCTCCTAATAATTTGGCTAGACTATAAAAGCATTTTTAGGTGGTTTAAATAAAATATGAGAGACTTCTCAAAGGTTTTTATTCTATGTGATTTTTTCATAGTGTTTCTAAAAATATCCTTGTGTCTTTACAAGACACTGGTCACTCAGACGAACATGACCAGACAAACTTTCTCATTTTATCATTTTCATAACTCAAGTGCACTTGAATGCCTTAGAGAAAAGCATCATACCATAACCCGCGAGTTTAAAGCCATGTTCCCGAGAAATCGACAAAACGTCTCAATGATAGAAAAAACATTCAATGCACTTGTTTCACATTACTTCTATAATTACCCAGTGGCCTTCCCAATTCTCCATATGGTTGGATTTGATGACAAGATGCCAACCGACATGTCTTGGGAGTAACTGTTTTGGTTGACCAAAAGCTAATGTGGGCGAAATTTAAGTATCTAACACAAACATTCAAAACTCAACCAAAATTATTTAACGTATATAATCGTGACACACGGGATTCAAGGTACATTTTTTATCACGATTTTTCACTCCGCTCATCTTGAAATCTATAACCGACTTGAGTGTTGGAATGTGAACCTTACAGGTCCACCCTGCGTCACCGTATTAGAGATCAATATCACCGCTTCAAAAGTCCAACATCATCAATTATAACTTCTTCGCAGAACAAAACTTGTCTAAAAACTAAAGTATGTTTTAATGGAAATCCAAAGAAAAAAATTCTTGATGACTAAAGTAAATTATGTGGTTTAGAAGGATCTAACATGCATGATCTTTCTATCTCTATCTCTTTATTTTATTTTATTTTTTTAATTTTGATGCCTAATCTCAAACTCTTTTCTTTTCTAACCTAAATCATTTTTTTCAAAGCTTTTTAAAATCTATATATTACAATTTACCCCTCTTGTGATATTAGGCATTTGGTCAACACTATTATTATGTTATTAAAAAACTTCAAAATCTTACACAATTCATTTCATTTTAAATTGTGTAAATTATTTCGATACGGCCTTTCTTTTCTTTTTAATGCATAAGGGAATTCTTGTGATATAAAACCTGATTAATTATTATTTCAACTAAGATTCAAATGGAACATCACATTTTAATAAGAGATTATAAATCAATTGAGTCAAATCACATACATTCTCCTATCCTTATTATAATAAAATTAATCTGTTTTAATTCATCAAATGTTAAATGAAAAAAAATTCAAATTTACTTTATAATATTAATCAATAGAATTTGTGTCAATCAAGAATTTAAATTTTTCATCCATCAAGAATATAAATTTTTCATGCAGTAAGATATGGTCAAATTATGGCTTTCTTATTTGATTAATTAACTAGATTTTAATGATCTCAAATTTTACATTTTTCTAGATCTTCTATGCTTAACAAAGATAAATACTATAGTAGCAAGTAATGCTGATCCTGCTATAGCCAATGGAACCAACAGTTTCTTTGATATTTTTGCATTGTTCTTTTTCTCTTCACCTTGTTTCTGTTCCTCATGCACTTGTTCATAGTCTTTTTCTTCTTCATCAATTTCTTCTATTTCATGTTTTTCTTCTTCATCTTTGTTTATGCATTGTTCAAGTTCATTTTTCTTTGTTTTTTCTTCTCCTTCAACTTCTAATTGTTGAGTGCTTAATGAGTTTGGAACCTTTGATTGTTGAGCCACTTTTTCTTTCAAATGAGTAGTTGTAATTTGCGTTTGTTCTTCTTTCGAAATCGTTGATTCGGGTACATTAGTGTTCCTTTCCTCCTCCTTTGGAATTTCATTGTTCATTTTTGGGGACCTTGTAACTTCATGAGCTTCTTTCCTTTCTTTTGATTGTTGATTAATCCTTTTCCTTTGTAACTTTGACGTTTTCGGTTCTTCATATGTCGTGGTCTTCGGTGCTTTAATCTCTTCTGCTCCATACTCATGTTGGTCATAGTCTCGATTAGTCTTCATTTCTGCAATATCATTCTTTAGCCTTTCGTCGAATGATTCTTCTTCTTCTTTCTCACCAACTTCAAATTTTACCGAATGCTCTTTCTCCGGTGCTGTTTTCATTGTTTCATGAATTCGTTTTTTCTTGTCATCCTTTTCAATACCAGATTTTTCAATTTCATCATCTATCTTGCACTTCTCATCATCAACATTTTGAGTTGTTTTACATTCTTTGAACATATCTTTTTCTTTAGCCTCTACTTTTGCATCATCTCTGGCCGCATTTTCTTGCTCCCTATCATCGATTTTCTTCTCAGACTCATCCGTTTTCTCTTGAAATGTTTCCCCTACTATGTTACAAGTCCGATTTTCTCCTTCTTCTTTTGGTTTCTTTGGACTAAAAACTTCTTGGTTCACACTTTCATCTCTTGATTCATATGTCTCCTTGCTTTCAAATGTTGTATCCGCAAATTTTGTATCCAACACCTTTGTCTTCTGTTTCTTATCCTTTGCATTTTCAAAATCAAACTCCTTAAATCCCATACTTACTACCGATTGAAATTCTCTCTCAAGATTTCTTAACTCTTGAAGTTCTTCCATTGTCATAGACTCGCCAAAATTTGGTTCCTCAGTATCATTCCTTAAACCTTCATTTGCTTCCATTTGTTCAACTTTTTCACTCTCTTCTTTGACACCTTTTGTTTTCTCAATCTTTCTATCTGTTAGTCCCTCTTCTGAATCAGCTGCTGAATCTAACATCATTGGAAAAATATCATCTTTTTCATCCATGCTTTCTTTGGATATTCCTTTACTCATCTCTCCTTCCAAATAACATTCATCTTTCTCCTTTGTTACCTTTTTCTTGAAACCAACAATTTCTTCATTTTGTTTCTTCTCATATTTGTTTCCACTCACTTTCTTCTTTGTCTTTTCGTTCTTTGCATCTTGAGTTTTCTTCATCTCTTGAAACTTTTGCGTTTGTCTTCCATCAACTATTCCAATACCAACATTCTCTTTCTCAATTAACTCATCAATAGACTCAAGTTTCTGATTCCTAATTTCTATCTTAGTTCTGACATCAAAAGGCTCATTTGCAGCCTTACTTGTTTTTGATCTTTCTTTACTAGTCTCTTGCAAAAAACAATCATCTTTTTCCTTTGTTGTGTTTTTCTTGAAACCTTCATCTTCTTGATTTTGTATCTTCTCATTCACTTTCTTCACAAACTCTTTTTCATTGACATCTTCAATTTCCTCCTTATCTTGAGACTTGTGTGTGATATTTGTTGATCCTTCTCCTTTCAACTTTACTATACCATATTCAATTTTATCTTCCTCATCTTGAACTATTGCTTTAGTTCTCTTCTTGAATTCTTCTTCTTCAAACTTTACTTTCTTCACAAATGGTACAACTTTTACATTCTCTTTGAGACCTTTTGCTTTCTCAATCATTCTATCCTTTAGTTCCTCTCTTGTATCAATTTGAGAGTCTAACATTTTCATTGGAAAATCTTCTTGTGCATCCTTGATATCTTGAGATCTTCTTTCACTCACATCGTTTCGCAAATAGCCTTCATCTTTTTTCTTTGTTACACCTTTCTTGAAGTCTAAGTCTTCTTCATCTTCTTGATTTTGTATCTTATTATTAACTTTGTTCCCAAACTTTTCGGGGTTTTCACCCTTTTCATTGACATTTTTACTTTCCTCCTTCTCTTGAAAACTTCTTCCATCAGCATGGATCTTTCTAGGTCCCTCTCCTTTCAACTTCACTATACCAAATTCAATTTTATCATCCTCATATTGAACTATTTTAGCCTTAGTTCTCTCCTTGGATTCTTTTTCTTCCACCTTTTTCATCAAACTTTCACTTTCGACCATTGATTTTTTACTAACCTCTATTTGTTCTTCCTCATTTGCATCATTGAATTCTCTACTTTCATCAATCTTTCCAACTTTCTGTTTCAACTCTTTAGTCACATTCTTTGAGACTTCATTCATTTCTTTTATAATATTATCCTTTACATGTTGTTGATCACTTTCCTTAAATTCATTCTCATTCTTTTCAATTTCCTCATGCATTGTCTCTTTTGTATTTCCTTTCTTTGTTTTCACATGCGTCCTTTTGAATCTTTCACTTTCACCTTTTTCCTCAAAATATTCAATCTCTTTGTCCACCATTTCTTCTTTTACATTTTTAGATTCTTGAATCTTTTGAACATTCAATCCTTCATTTTCATCAAAACTACTTTTAGGAAGCTCTTGATTTATTTTTATGACTTCCTTTTGGATGGCATCTCTAAACACGACTTTATAAACATCATTGAGTTCAAAAGGCGTCTTTTCAGAATCCATTCCTCCCTTCTTCCTTTCTTTAGTGCTTTTAGCTTTCTCCATTTGTGGAACTCTAGGTTCTCTAAGTTCATTTTGTTCCATACTACTTTCTTTCAAAACTTCTTTAAGTCTTTCCTTAGAGTTACACTTTGGTCCTCCATTTTCCTTTTGTTTTGACTCTCCATTTTGTTGAATCAAAGCCTCTTCGAAAACTCTTTGGTCTGAATCTACAATGTTATGTGAGATACTTTCCTTATCTTGTTCTTTTGACCTACTTATTTTCTTGGATTCGTCTTCTTCTTCCTCCTTTTCAACATTGAATCCTTTACTTCCTTCGATCTTAGCAGCCTGTTGTTGTCCACCTCCTTTGATTCCATTCTCAATCTTTTCAATTTCCTCTTGCATTGTTCCTTCGTTATTACTGACTTTCTTTGCTTCCACATCCATCATTTTGAGTCTATCACCTTCACCCTTCTCCCTAAAATATTCAATCTCTTTGCCCTTTCTATTTACGACATATTCCTTGACATCTTTGGTTTCTTGCATTTTTAGATCATTTAATCCTTCACTTTCCTCATGATTACTTGTAGGTATGTTCTTAGGAAACTCTTCATCAATATTTATCTTTGCATCAAGTCCTTCTTTATTAGGCTTTTTCCCCTTTGGTTCATCATTTTTAGTTTCCCTCTTAGGCTTTATGAAATTCTTATGATCATCAACATTGGCTTCAAAAGGTTCAAGTTTTGATACATTCATTGCTTCAAATAGTTCCGTGTTACTTTCTTTAATACCTTTTGTTTTCTCAATCCTTGTATTCTTTGGTTCGTCTCTTGTATCAACTAGTGAATCTAACATTTTGTTTGGAAAAACTTCTTTAGAAGCATTGCTTGCTTTTGATATTCCTTTGCTCGTCTCTTCTTGCGAAAATCTTTCATCTTTCTTCTCTGTTTTATTTTGGTCGAAACCTTCATTTTCTTCATTTTTTACCTTCTCATATTTGTCTCTAACCACTTTCTTCATATACTTTTGAATATTTTCCCCCTCTTCATTGACATCTTCATCTTTAGTTTGTTCAATCTCTTTAAGCTTTTGTGTTTTTCTTCCATCAAATGTTCCAATATTTGCATTCTCTGCATCAAAAGGTTTATTTGGTTCACCATGAATCTTTGTACAACCCTCTCCTTTCAACTTCACTATACCATGTTTATTTTTATCTTCCTCATCTTGAACTATCTCCTTAGTTATCTCCTCATATTCACCTCCTTCCACTATTAAACATTCTTTTTCAACTAATTCTTTTTTGATAACTTGTTTTTGTTCGTCTTTGTTCTCAAAATCAAATTCTTTATTTCCTTTGATCCCTGAAAATTGTTCTTGACAACTTCCCTTTATTCCTTTCCTTCCCTCTTCAATTTCCTCTTGCATCGTCTCTCTTGTATTATTGCCTTTCTTTTGTTTCACATGCATCATTTCGATTTTTTCACCTTCACCCTTCTCCATAAAACATTCAACCTCTTTGTTCATCATTTCTTCTTTCACATTTTTGGTTTCTTGCATACTTTCAACATTCGATCCTCCACTTTCCTTTAAGGAACTTCTAGGTAATTTCTTAGGAAACTCTTTCTTTATTATCACCATTCCATAATCAAACTCTTCCCTACCACCAAGCTTTTCTAAAACCCATTTTTGATCTCCATCTTTAGTTTTCATCTTAGCCTTTATCATTTCCTTTTGAAAATCTTGGTTAGCTTTGAAAGGCAACTTTTCATACTCCCCTCCAATTATTTTCCCTTTAGTGCTTTTAGTTTTCTCCATTTGCGGAATCCTAGACTCTTCAAATTCATTTTTGTCTATACAACCACCAACTACATTATGTTCAACTTCTAACACCTTGATTGCTTCAAATGGTTTCGTGTTATTTTCTTTCTCACTTTCTTCAAAATGTTCTTTAGACTCTTTTTGTTTTGACTCTTCACTTTGTTGAATCATAGACTCTTCAAAAACTCTTTGATTTGTATCTACATTGTTACCTAAGATACATTTACCAATATCTTTTACCTTACCATCTTCACTCCTCAAGTTAGATATTTCTTTTTCTTCTTCTTTTATTGTCCCTCCAATTATGTCCCTATTAACATCATCATGCCTCTTGATAACATTTCTACTATCTATCTTTTGATCCTCAATCTCTTTATCTTTGCTCATATCTTCAAATTTGTTAGAGATGAATACACCAACACCTTGGTCTCGTTCTGATTTCTTCGTCACATCATATTCTTCTTTGCCATCCTTTTCTCTCGCAATCTCTCCATTTTCATTTTCAATTCTCAATTTAGTATCTCCAACTTCTTTTTCTATTGCTTCTTCATTTACATCCTTCTTGGTCTCATTAAGCATCTTCTCCATATTTTCTAATGTCTTCAATGCTTCATATGTTTCCTTTCCACCATGTTTTCTTGTATCTTTTATCTTGCTATCCTCAATCCTCAATTTGCATTTTTCATTTTCTCTTATGTTCCTATTAACTTCATCATTTCCATCTTCAAATGTTAACTTAGATCCTCTAACTTCTTTTTGTGTTGTGATCTTGTTAGTATCATTTTCACTTCCTTCCATATCTTGAAATTCACAATCTTTTGACCCTTTTTGCCTTGTCTCACCAACACTACTAGAAACATGATCAATTTCACTTTTCTCTTGTTCCTTAAATTCCTCAATTTTAAGACCGCAAATCCCTTTTACCAATTTTGGCATGACAATATTCATCATCCATTCCTCTTCATTGTAATTTGCTTTGATCTTATCCAAATTCACACCATGTGGAATTTTGAAAACCTTATTGAAACCTTTAACATCAACCACTTTCCTTTGCATTACCCATCCCATCATCACCATTTCTTGAATTGGTTTCTTTCCAATAATTGATATCTTACTCCCATCTTTGCTAATCTTGATGTCAATGTTATTTTTCTTATAACCTGTGTTTGCATGAATATTTTACCAAGGTATATAATGTAAAAGATAAAAGCCAAAATAAAATATAAGAAAAGCCGACTGTAAAAAAAACCGCTGAATCAAATTGTTATCTGTAGTTAGTGAACTGAACCATATTACATAAGTATTTTTAGAACATAATCAAATGACAAATAAACTGAATCGAAATTTAAACAAAACCGCATTGAAGTTGAAAATGAAAAAAAATGCTAAAATAAAATAATTAAAAAAGCTACCAAAATTAAGAAAAAAAAACAGCCAGTTTGGAATTTCGAACCAATATACAGACAATTTTATTTTAGTTCAATTTTGGATAAATTGAAACAGTCCTGTTCGATTCAGATGATCTTTTTCTATGATTCAGTTCGGTTTTTTAAATAAATTTTACCATACAAACCACTCTAAAAAGCTACTAATGTAATTTTGCAGGAATTAAAATCAAATTTGTTAATTTTATTGGAACAAAAATAGATTTAAATTTAGAAGAAGAAAAAAAGATAGAATGATAGAAGAAATTGACCTTTGAGATTGGCAATGAGGATGAACATGGTGTTGGTTTCTCTAGAATGAAAAACAGGTCCTGCATCCTTCATAAATTGATACTCAGAGATAGAATCAGTATCATCTTTGATTTTAGTGATTTTGAGTCCTAATTCAAGCTCCATCTTTGTTGTTGCTAAATTGTTTTCTTAGAAAAATAAGTATTAAAAAAATGGTGCTAAAGGGTAAAGTATTAGAATTTTAAATAACTAATAAGAACATGATGTGTTGAAAATTGATGCTTCTAAAATGCTTTAGTCTCAAAATAGTTTCAGATATGGGAAAAGTATATATTCTTTTCTTCCTCATGGGTTAAAAGAAATTCGAGGTACAATCCTAATATTCTAATAAGAGTGTAAATATATACTAAACAATTAATCATAACACTTTGTCATTCTAAAAAATATATCAATCATTTCTAAAGCTTAACATACCTCATCATTCTTATGATTAATAATGAATCCAAAACCTAATTTTTTGTTGTTGTAATTTTCACCCTTCATATCAAGCTAGTTTCCTTGAGTCATTGCTACTCAAGTGGTGCCCTTCGAATATCTTATGTTTGATGAGGTGTACTTATAAAAGAGGGATCATTCTGTATTTATTTGTTTTCATTCTACTTTTTTCCACATCCCTCAAATTGCTTACTTAATTAATTTGTATGGATGTATTTGCTTGAATGTATAATTAAGAAGTGATACAAGATGATAAAGATCATAAATAGCAAGATTTAAGAAGTGACTACCTAGCTTTAATGATGACATGGTTTTGATGATAACAACATTTGAAGTGGATTTCATGATGACAATACTTGAAGTCAAAATACTTCAAGCTAAAGATTGTTTGTTTAAAGTAACATTTTAGTCCAATAAATCTAAAGTGAAGACTATGGGTTCATGATCACCGGAGAGTTAAAACATCTCAAATGCCGAAAACTAATATGCAAATACCACAAGCCTCATTAAGAAGACTCAATACTCTTGTAAAAGTAAAAGATAATTTCAACACTTGGAGCTTTAGAGTGTGAAAAAGAGTAAGTGTGAAAGCTCGTCTAATTATGTTCGTCTGATTGACCAGTGTATTGTATAGACACAAGGGTGTTTCTGTAAGTATTATGGTTAAATCACACATACTACAAATTTTGATAAGTCTGTCACTTTTTAATTAAACTAGCCACACACAAAAATTGGAGCCTAACTAGTTGATTAGGTGATTGTCTGCTTAATTGCGATTTTTTAGTGTTATATAATTGATTAGATTTATAGTCTAATCGATTAGATGATGTCTAATCAATTCTATAATTGATTATGACAGTCTCGTAAAGATTGGTAACATCTGTCTATCTTAATTAACCTTTCAATTTGGGTAGCAATAATTAATTATTTGCACTATCTAATCAATTAGCTAACTGATTAGGTCATTTAATTGAACCATGAATTGTTTCCAATTTTACACAATTTTTTGGCCTATAAATAGAAAATTTCTTTATCATTTAAAATCATCCATAAAATGTCAAACATATTAATTTTCATTTATCTCATTATCTCTCTAAATCATTTCTAATTTTTTCACATTTTTAACCATAGTACTTTGAGAGCATTCTTGAGTTTAGTGGGGAATTTTAGTCTAGGTGGAGGTTTAACGGTAACTTTACCAAGAATCAAATTTTATCTTGAGTAAATTATCTTTCTTAGGAAGTGATTATTTTGGTTGGGAGCTAAATCATTGTAAAAGCTCTTTGTTTGTTATTTGGGGAATTAATATAAATCTCTGTTTGATTCGTGAGTTTTGTCATTGAAGAAAAACTCTTTTTTGGGTTCGTGAAGATCAACTAGTAAAAAATATTCACAACGATCCTTAAGCTCAGTCCGATCAAAAGTTCATTCGTTTCAAAATCATCCTGGTGTAAATATCATTCAGTTTCTAAGTTGAACCTAGTTAAAATAATAGTAGGTTCAAGATGATCCCGATAAAAATCTTAGTCTGGTTCATGGTCAGCCCAGTAAATCCTCTATTTGGTTCAAAGGATAACCAACTCAAAACTTCATCTTGGTTCAAGATTAGCCTGTGAAAAATCTTCGTTTGGTTTAGAGACTAACCGCTCGAAGCTCTATTTGTTGTTTTTTTTAGACTAACCACTTCAAGCCTCAATTTTTTGTTTGGTTGGAAGTTAGCCCGAAACTTCATTTCAATGTATAAGGGGGTTTCTGGGCTTAACCTTCTAAAAGCACTCAAGCAATAATGGATACTCTCAAGATCAATTCTTTGAGGGATAAGTTTGTCACTTCATTAGACCAAACCTCCATAATTCTCTAGTTCCATTCTCTCTTCCCTTATCTCTTTTATTTTCCACTTAATTTATTTACTTTGAATTCCCGCTGCGTACTTGTTCAAACGTTTTGAATAAAATATTTTGAGACTCTGATTTTAAAAATGATTTTGTTTTATCAATAATTTTGAAAACTCCATAATTCATCCCCTTCTTGTGTAGTGAATCACATGTTCAAAAATTTCCTCTTTGGGAACATTGTTTTAGACTTCATTATTGTTATTGGTATTGAATAAATGACTTCAAACATAATAGGACGGGTGAATTGTGATATTCAATTTTCAAACACTTTTTACAAACAAAGTTTGGTTTTTAAAATGATTTATATTAGAAGCAGAGAATAAGCATAAAAAAAGATAAATGACATAGATATAAAGAGATAGGATAAGAAAGACCACACTATAGATTATCATAGTTCGGCCTTAAACCATGTGGCCTACTCCAATTCCAAAGAATTTCTTCTTGAAATTTCCACCAAAAACAACTTTGAGATTTTTCATAGGGTTATTTTAACAACCTTACAAAAACTTGACCTTTTGCACACAATCAACCTAACAACCTTACACCAACATGAGCATTTTCACAAGATAAAACTCAATAACCTTATACCGAGATTTTTGGAGGTTTAGCTTCCAACCTTCAAATCTATTACAAAATTACAATAGAAGTAAGCTCTATAATAAACAAATTCAGCACAACAGAAAGACACCACAACTCTCAGATGAACCTTTTCACTCTCTTAGAATTAAGGCAATGACAAGTTAATAAAACCTATGAAAGATTGAGAACAAGAGAGAATGAATAGTTGATTATCTTGAAAATTGGCATGTTATAAGTGAGTAAAGTCCTCCTTTATATAGAAAATATTTGGATACAAAATGAAACAATTAATGAAATTTGGCACTTCCTAATCAATTATAATACCTATCTAATTTATTAGGTTAACAAAGAAAAATAGGAAATTGTTTAATTGATTAGAAAGCCTAACTAATCGATTAGAAGACATTACTTGCTTTAATCAATTAATTGAAGGCCTAATATTGATTAGAAAGCTTCTTGATTGATTAAGTTCTTGTCAGTATTGGTTTAAAGAAGGTTTAAAAAACGATAAAGATTTTCAAAATGTCTTAATGCATATATGCCTCTCACTGCTACTAAAAGCACATTTAACCTCGGACGCGAAAAACATTTAACCCTAGCTACAGAAGAGAAATGAAGGGCGTCATGAAAAGTGGTCACTATACCACTCGATTTTTAAATAACCAAGGGGTAAAGTTATCTTCACATTGGTTCGATCTCCAATATTTGGCTTTTTTTTTATTTTCAGCATTAGATGGCACGCCCAATATTAAATCTCGATTTTGTTTAAAATCGAGATAATAACGCAATATTTTTACCTCATAATTTTACAACAAAACTAAAACAAATGATTTCTGAATTGTTTTACAACACTAAAATCTCATTGTAAATTCTGAGGTAAAAAATATTGCGCTATTACCTCATTTTAAATATGGCACACACCTTATAATTTTACAACAAAACTAAAACAAATGATTAACCAACAAAAGAAATAACAAAAATAGAAACTCTTGTAGGTTGTCCAAAAGTTATATGCTAAAATTTGTCATTGGTAGTTAACCACCTATAATTTGAACAACATTTGAAACCTGTAATACCTCATATTTCCCTTAAATGCACATTGTGTATTAGTTGGATTTATTGAAGCCCTGGAGTGCTCTAAGTGTCATCAGTTATGACCAATAGAGTAACTAGTAGACTCTGAAGAGATTATTTATTAATAAAAGAGACTGACCATTATTAATAAGTATAAGAGGGGACATTTTGGTAACATTAATAATTGTTCATTTGGTATTGGAATACAAAATATCAATTGAGATATTTTACATTTCTACCTAATATTATATTATATTATAATACTAGATATTGTTATGTGGTGGAAAATTAAAGAGAGTAATATGTGGGTGAGAAAGAAAGATGAGGATAAAGGAAGTAGGTAAGAAGAAAGAGAGATATCAGGAAAAGAAAAAGGAAAAACATAAGGGAGAAAGAGAGAAACCCGAGTGGAAAAGAGGAAAGAAGAAAAGAGAAGATAAAGAGAAAGAAGAAGGGGGAAGAAGAGAAGGAAGGAAGGAAGAAGAAGGAAAAGCCATGGGTTTATCATCTTCACCATCATCAATATTCACCATCTTCTTCATATCCTTGGGTTAGAGGTGAGTTTCATAGATAGGAACTCTTGATTTAAGGAATTAGAGTTTGTATTGGAATCATAGGATAGTTAGTGAAATCCATGATATAATGATAAGTGTTTACTCTTGAACATGAAACATTGCCATAAACCATGAGTTAACAAAGTCTTATATGATTGGTATGCTCTTATGTTTGGAATGTTGCTATTGTTGTGTGATTACATGTTCATGATGCAAATTCACATGGTAAACTATGTGGTTGTTGTTTTCTTGATGTTAGAACGTGCCTTGTTTATGGTGATTGTGTTGTTGTTAATAAACCATGTCATGTTTCAATGGTAGTTGGAGTAACATAGTTGTTAGAGGTGAAACAGACAATTATGAAGGTTTAAGAAATGGCTTGGTTAAGAATCATGCTTCAAAATTAGGTTTTTATGCAGAAATTACTTATATAGGTGGACACATGCGAGTTCAAACCGACCTGCAGATATTTTCCATAAGTATAGACCGACCTGAAAACCCCACAGGCCAACCTCCACACTTTAATATTGAATCCTCTAGCATTCTTCCCATATGTCGCGTCATAGGT